AAAGTGTTTTAATACAGGAAAAAAATCCCACTGTCTTCAATATAAGATGTATCAAAATAATTTATTTATTCAATTGTGTTCTTTTATAAATATTTCTGTGGATGATTTTTTGCTAACGCTAAAAATTAAATGAGTTAAAAAAGTAAAGAGAAACAAAGAAAATAAAACTAACTAAGAAAAGGTGAATTATTTAAGTTATTAAAGAGATTTAAATAAGACAGATTTCAACCATTGCAAGGAAGAGTTGTTCAGAGGAGGAGGAGCAATAGTCACCAATCAGAAGTTTTAGTTTTAGTAAATGGGCGGGACTTCCTGTTGAAGAACCTCATGTTGTCGGGTAGTTAATTCTCTCCCTCGCTGCTCTCTGAATAGTAAAGACGTTGGTCATGTTGTCTCGTGTTTTTCTCCCTCGTGTAGTTTCATCGTCACAACAGGCTGAACAAACGAACGCCGTGGCGTTTTGTCATTATTTGCAAGAGCAGGAAATGGTGAGTAGTAAGTAAGGTTTGTTTTAACATGTGGACGAGTTGCTACTGCTGCGTTGGCCTGAAGAGCCACACGTTGGCGAAGTAACACAACTTGAATGAATTGTACCGGGCTGTTGTAATCCTGTGGTTTATAAGAGATTATGTTAAACTAAGCATCGTCTGAATAATATTACAGATGAGAGCGGAGACACAGCTGGACAGCAAGGCGCTGTTTAGCGGACTAAAGACCTGGAACAGGCCAAACTTCCGGTCGTAGACTCCCAACTCCAAGACGCCATGATGGCGCTGATGCCATGTGGAAGTGAAGCTTGTTGACCACAGAAGCTGGTGAGTCTGTATCTTGGTCACTTGAAAGAATTTGAGCCAGTGATGACAAACTTAAATATTTCTGACACCTACTATGAGCGCTGACCTTCAGCCACTGATTCTCTCTTTGTCCTGAGGCCTTGATGTCACATTCATTTGTTTACTGTAATAAATGGAAGCTTGACTCAAATTGATCATTTAAAATAATTTCACAGGTTAAAATGCGCCAATTTCAAAGTAGTCGCAGGACAGGCTCTCCCCAGCATATGAAGTGGTGAGTACGTCTTCTGAATATATTTTGGTCAGCGAGTACGTCTTCTGAATATATTTTGGTCCACAGTATAAATCACGGAATGTAAAAAAACAACAAACTTTAACACATTCCTGTTTGCTGTTGGTGAGATCTGGCTAGATGTTTGTGTGATATTCA